ATATATATATATATATATATATATATATATATATATATATATATATATATATATATATATATATATATATGTATATATATATATATATGTATTTATCCAGGATGTATACCGCTTAGGCTCAAAATGGTATTTCCGTGCATGCCCGGAATTACCGAACCGTAAATACAAGTACCGAGTATATAGCCTCAGTGGTTTGGATGATGTCAGTAGTGATTTGATTACGCAGGAGCAGTTTTCTGAGCAAACTGTAAATCCATCGGTAAGTTATTTTCTCTTTAATCGATGACTTGATCCATTTAAATTATCGTTTTATTAATGTCGAATATTGAATTGAAGCCAATTAAAAGGTCAGTATTGGTTTGCACGCTTAATTCAATACAATGATGTTAAGAGGAAGAGGAACTTCATTTTAATTAAAGTATTTAAGATCATAACGAATCATGGGTCTGTCGTTGTTGATGCCTCGAAGAGTATGGTGGAAGCAGTGGCATCTACTGATTGTCAGCTAAATAACTCAAACCAACTAATTGAGTTTGATAATGAACCTTTACCGGTAGGTTTGAGTGAGTACGATAAAGTATTTATCGGGTCAGAATTCGGATTTTAATGATCGATGAGGACTTTCTACAATAGTAAAATGAGAAACAAGAACAATAGGACATGAAGAGAGGAAAATGACGAGAGAGGAAAAAGATGAAAAAAGTCAAAAGTGTAGTATGAAAAGAGTGTTACTAATACTGCAGATTACTTCTTGCACAGTCTAGGAGATGTTTGAGGTAGTACTCATTCTGTTTAAGTTTTAAGCCTTAAGTAAGATACAGGAGTCAGTAAAACAATCTTTTTTATCTATGTTTTGATACATTCATATTGCGTCAATTGAATTTTTAAACTGAGAGTTATTCAATCTCTCAGGTAATCTCATCGGATTCTTTTCCAAAGGCCACAGCAGTCTCACCGGTTACTCTTGACTTACTCAGTGCCGTTAATTTCAATACATCTCGTGCAGCAACAGTAAATGATATTAATGAGACAATAATTTTGCAAAGTTCAAATTCTTCTGATATGACTGATTCCAATCTACTGGTTGATTTCAATGCTGCGGATGAAGCGCAAGAGGTCGCTACACAAGTTCGGCAGTTTCACATACTGGATGAAAATTTTACTCTTTCTTCATTTGATTTCGATTTTAAAGACACGAAAGAATGCAATTATGAAACGGAAATGTTCGGTTGTAGCAATCACGAGAACAATGGAAATATATGGTAAGTTTATTTGTTTTCCAGTTTGCATCTTACATATAGTGGTTTTTCAATCTAATATATGAAACAGTTTTGGTAAAACTCAGTCACGTCCGTATTACACTAATAGAATAGTTATCGAATATCTTTTTCCACTGAGCTGTATTTAACATGCAGCTATAAAATAATGGAAAGTACATGAGCATTTTCTGGGATACATTACTTTTATTTGCTTAACAGAAGTGAGAAAATATAAAGTAAGGATGAGTATATGATTCAGTTAGCCAGTGAATGCGTAGAACGAATCAGTTTAAGAATTGATGTTGTAAATCCTTTTTTCTTTTAAATGTTAACATTAGTGATGTTTAGGACAAAACATGTTTACATAGTTGTTTACATAACGATTAATTTATATTGCTTAAGCATGGCATCACAATATAACGAGTCAGAAAATGCTAATTTCAATCATATTAATAATGGACTTGATATGCCAAAAGGTTTGGTTTCTTTTTAATAATTTCTAAATTTAATATATACCAGGTTTCAGCATCGTTCTTTTAATGTATGGTTTTTTTGTAACTTTATCTGACTACGGCGTTAGAATTTCAAATAATTACTTTCATATGATCTAAAGTTCAAGTCTAAGAATCCCCTCACCTTTCAGAGCAACCAATGAAAGTGGAAAGTAACGATTGCTCAGTAGAACTTGCAACATGTAAACCAAAAAAGTGTGTGGAAAATTGCTCGGTGTTATGTAATGGAAATTCTGTAGTTGAACAGCTAATTGATATTAACAGTGATTCACCAATAGTTGGTCAAGAGATGGCTACTAGCGAAGATGATTCTGAAAATGAAGTGTTCCATGCAATACCTGTGAAAAAACAAAATAACGATGGGGTTGGCGTTTTGTTTTGAGTTTGCAATTTTTTAATGAAATTTTGATTCAATACAATTTAGTCGTAAGAGTGAGATGCTGGACAAAAAAATGTGACTCGCAAATTAGAATTTGGCAAAAGAATGAGTGAATGAGTTTTCCTGAAGAAGTGATGCACATACTTCTTTTTTGAGTAGCGTGGGTGAGGTTAGATTATGGCTGGGTGAGGACGGGGAGGTTATGAATCATTTCTTGAGGAATTTAATTCGTTATCACTAGTGGATAAGCGAATTACCTATCGATAGTCGAAATTTTTTTCATTTTTCCAAGACAATTAAATTCGCAAGTTCAATTCCTAAATATTTTAGTGGTGGTTCACCCGCAAAGTCTCAAATAGAATAATGGAAGACAGGAAGACGAATGATGAGCTTAAGGGGCTACCGTATCATAACGGAAATTCTGAAACAGTAGAGGTATTAAATGATTTAATATTTGGAATAGTAAAGAATTTGCTAGGAAAGGCTTAGTCTGCTCTCTTGATAATGCATAACATTTTCTTCCATGATATACAGCGTTATCAGCGAAGCTTGCTATAAATTTCCCAACCTTGATTGTTAGCAGGCAGCAAAATGCTGCAATTTCAGCTTAACTCAGTACCCAAGGATGATGAACCATTGTTGATTCTAACTGACGACCATGCCAAAAATTGTGAAGCAACTTCCGTAACAGTGATACCACAGTTATCTCTTCCAAATGCTCTTCAAAACGATGATGTAAGTTTTTTTCTTACTTTTTTGATTGTATTGTTTTGTTAATGATTTTAAGTTCACTGGAATTTTGGTACAGTGTCATTTGTATTTGTGTTAACCAGTGATGTTATTCGTTCTCCATATTATCGGTTTAGCTCTAAATCCGTATTGATGTTTTTTTTCGTTAGAAAATAATTCGATCTTGATCATACTAAGTAAGCGTCACTTATTAGAACTTCAATCATTACATGACATTTTAATGATAGTTCACAAGATATTTTGTTTGTGAAAAAGGAAGAAGAGAGTTTGAGACATTGGCTGTTTTTAGGTTTACAAGATATTTCTCAAGAGATTTGTGGAATATTTTGATCTGGATAGAGTTAAAAGTGACAAAAATAGACTGGAAGATTATATTCCTAATCCATGTAGTTTTCTGTGAACTACTAATATCTGGTTATTAACTGGATAATCTCTTTTTTCTCTCTTTAGGTATATGCCAAGTTTTTTGCTGCACTTTTTCGAAAATGAATATCATGACGAGAAACAATGTTTCCATGACAGTATACCGTTTCTTTTGGTTTATGCAAAAATTATCATGATTCAATTGCTATTACAAGGGAAATATTATCGACTTAACACTGTCTTTTTTTTTAATGTTGGTGCGTCTTCCTTTTTTCTCATATGATAATGATAATTTTTTCTATATGAAAAAATATAGAAAAAAAAATAATTTTTTCTTATACGTTAATGAATAGCTGCATGAAAACTTCTTGTGTTTATCTATTTAATAATATTGTATTGAAACATTCCTGGATTGAAAGGTTTGTTTTGGTGATAATTACGTAATTTTTGAAATTTTTCTCTTTTTTTTGTATTGCTAAATCGCTTTTTTGAATTATTTGTTGAAATTATATTTCGTTTCCATCTTTATATTTCTTAAAGACCTTTGAAAAAACAAATTTACTTTTGTTATTTATTGGCTTCTTGTCAATACAATGCGCTATTCGACGATTTGAAGAAAATTTATCAGTTATCACATACCAATTCAAATTGCCTTCTGTTAACCTTATGTAAATTTTCATTTCTAAGTTGATTTTTATTAAGGTTTGACTTACAATATGGTAGTTGCTTTTTCTTATTGCTGTATAATCGGTTGGTTGCATATACGCTTGTTTCTTTGCTTCTTTTTGAGGTGATATTGTATAGACTACTACTTGTATATTTCTTACTGCTTTATTTTCTATTGCGTTTTCATCTTCATATTTCTTAAGGACCTTTGAAAATGCTTTATTTTCTTCTGAAACTTTTTACCACTGTTTTATAATAAGCTCCAGCGGGTATTATGTTTTATAAAAAGCATCCATTGGGTATTGTATTTTATAAAAAGCATTCATCGGGTATTACTGATTTATCATTGAAATAATTTGTGCAATAATTGCTTTCCCGTGATTAAATATTGAAAAAGAACTCTTATTTAACACAGATTATGAGTGCGAATTTCCGGGCTTATGACTTGTATTCTATCGGTATTAGACTGCCTTATGTCATGGGATATATCATAAGTATTGAATTGTTCAGGTGTTAACAGATCATATGCCACTTAGCGTGATCGTATTCTGCTCCTTACTTAACCAGTCAGTACAACTAATCATCTTTCTATTTGTTCAAAAATAGGGTTGGGTAAAGTAGATATCTTCCTCATTTTCAGCGATTGCTTAAGAGAAAGAATTTTATGTGTAGTCCTATGCTACTTGTTATATTTCAAAAATAAAAAATAGAAATTTTGTTGATTAGGAAGCAAGACATTTGCCGGCATGACAGCACTATGTATCGAATTTTAATTTCAATAAATTGAGAGCACATTTATAAAGATGTAGAACCAACCGAGATGAACAAATAAACTTGAAATAGTCGACAATACAGGAAGATTTGTAGTTTAGAATGTTGCTAGCAGTATATCGATTATATGAAAAAGCTCTAACGAAATATCCGTTTCTAACTCAAGCTTCAACTGCTGGTTAGTTTTCTTACCTCTGATCAAGATAACATAAAATTCGAGGACTTAGAGTTGTGAATTCCAAGTCATGAAGTACGATCAACGAAATAGGATGTAACATAAGTCAAGAGATTAGTTATTCATTGTATTCATAGATCATAATTGGTTGTCATCGGCCATGCATAAAAATAGTTCAAAGAAAAAGAAAAAGTTGATAAAAACTAGCCAAAAAACTAGAAAATTTTAGCGTCAATTATTGGTTTTGAAAATATTTTCCACCAAAAAAAAGTGTCTCAGCTTTTGAAAGTTTAAATTCCTTTTTTTTTCGAAAGCATCCATTCATTTATCAATGAATAAGGGAAACATGATAATATGGTTGAAGTAAGAAAATCAACATGAATATTTCCGGTTGTCTTTTATCACTAAGCTCGAAGTATCAGCGCCAACTTCCTTGTCGTTAATTTGCTATCCTAATCGTTCATCTTCAATGCCACATGAAAATTCATCTTTTCGACAACTGTTTAGGAGCATTAGCAGTAATGGCTGATATTTTAACTCAAAATTTAATCGAAAAACGTTCACAAAAAGGAAATTATGATCCGGTACGAACAATACGCTTTTCCACTCTCATTCTTTTCTGGATTGTTAGTTTTTTTCTTTCCTTTCTTTACGGAACACTTCAGGAACGACAACTAATCTATTAATAGTAAAACGCTAATGTCTGTATTCTCGATTGTCGCTGATGAAGGAAAACAGGGATTAGGAAACTCTTAGACACGAAGTAGAAATGCTATATGCATTAATCGATGAAAAGTTAATCACAAACTTGATTAAGGTGATCACTTGGACTGACTCTAGGAAATGAAAAATAATGGAAGTGTGAGAATGTCACGTAACTCATATAGACAAGATCATAATTGTAGCATTGATATGAAATATCCGATTCAATTGTTGTTGAGGTATATAATCAAATAATACTTGTTTCTATGTGATTTTTAAAGACTCCTATAACTTATCGATGGTTTTTATTACTTGAAAAATTAAAAGGTAAAACAAATTCGCTGCCGTTGAAACGAATGATTCTTGATCAGGTTTGTTATTTTTGATGAGTGATGGTGTTAGTGATAATGATCATTATCGCAGCTTAACATTTTGTTTTTGTTGATTAGATTTAATCCGAAAATTGAAAATATTTGTAATAACGTTTTTTATATTTTTCTTTTTTTGAAAACTTGCAATTTAATATTTTCAGTCCATAGCAGCACCGCTATTTACATTTAGTTTCATTATAAATTTACACATATTGGAAGGCAGTTCTCCACATGACGCATTAGAAAAAACAAAAAACGAAATTGTTCCAGTTATGAAAACTAATTATAAGGCAGGACTTTTTGCTTTTTATTTTTGGAATAATGAAACGGTTTTTGGAATTTTGTTTTGAAAGATGAAATTATTTGATTTAAAGGAATTATAAAATATGCAAAATTATGACACAGTTCTCTCATACATTTGTTCAAATCATTAAAAAAAAAGAAAGGAAGCAATATTATTAATTATAGTTTCTGACATACATCATAGACAAGAATTATTTCATTATACTTTTTGCATAGCTTTTTTTTTTCTATTCAATTTGCGAGGATAGGAAAAAAGCTAATGATAAAGAGAAGTGGAACTGATCTGACATGATATGTTTTCAAAAAATGAAATGAATAACTCGTTTATTAATAACTTAATTTAATTAATGATTTGTTAATTGTTTGCCATATATCGTCTCTCAAAATTTCTATTATTATTTAGAGGAGTGTTTAAATTTGCTACTTAAAATAGTTAAATGAATGGAAACTTGAAATTAATTGGATAAATATCAAAATAAATGGAATGCTTCTTATCCACCTATTTTAACTGATATTTTTAATTATAATTTTTTTTTAAAAAATACACTTGTTTCAATTTAGGTTTGGCCATTGGCACAACTTGTAAATTTCTATTTGTTACCACTCCGTTATAGACTTGTATTTGTCCAATTTACGGGCCTATTTTGGAATATGTATTTATCTTATGCCACTCAAAATGAATTTAAACAGATAAACGAACTAAAAGTACACTCTAGCAAGAATTTGCATCACTAGTTAAATAAACAATGATCTTGTAATTTGAAATTAATTTTTCATAGAATAAAACTATTCAACGTTGTCTCTTACTATTTCATTGTATTAATTAAATATGCTGGGAATATGTTATTGCCTTAATAGTTATGATAAAGCATAACGAACAATATAACTGGGATGATTCATTATTGTTCTAATCTACTCAGGATTACTGACTTATAATTTCAGGATTATCAATGCTTGTCCTCTCTTTCCATGACAAGTATCAAATATGAATTCTAAATAAGCTTGCTAAAAGGACTTACACTTCAATTTATTTTATCAATAAAAGCTCGTCTCAGGATCGATTCTCTTATGCACAGATTTCCTTCATTGAAAATAAAAAGTTTCCAACTGAAAAGGAAATTGTCATCCTTAATGTGACAGTGTGAATTACACTTTCCCTTTAAGATATCAAGCAATCATTAGGATGTTTTTCATTTATATTCTCCTCTTTTCCTATCTTCTTTTCACTTTTCACTTTTGTGAAATTGTATTTTTCATACAGTTCGTTTTTTGGAAGGAAAAGGGGTAAATGATCAAATCGCATAGCTCTCTCAAATAAATTTATGCAAAAATCGATAAGCACAGTTTAGTGGTAGGCATTTGATTAAGCATTTTATTTTGTACTTTATTGATTGAAATTCAAATGGTACTTCAACTATTTGGAAGTATCGCAGGATGTGTTGACAATGATAATAATTACAAAATTAATAATAATGGTAACAATAACAACTATGGAAATAGTAGTAAAGATAATAATAATTACAAAAATAACAATAATAATAATAATTATTGTTATTGTTATTAAAGATTAATTTTAACAATAATGAATAGGCAAATTAATTAATTAATTAATATTATTATCAAATAATTAATAATAATTACGAAGAAAAATAATGGTGATGATAATGATAATAATTCCAAAATAATAACGATAATAATAATTGGTCTCTAAATTAATTATGGCGTAGCAATAAAGTTAAGGTGGTGACAATAAATAAAGCAGAAGGCAACTTTTAGAAGTTTGAGCTTTAAATTTTGCTGAAACGTGTCATATTTAAGTATTACATGTAGTTCAAACTGTAAAATTTCTTTTTGGTCCAACAGTACACTCTTGTTTCTGTCTGCAATTCTCATGATGGATAGATGAAAATTTGAATTTCGATTGAAATGCAATTACTCATCAGTATCCCAATACTTGTTAACCTTTCGATAATTAATGATCTCATTTAAAATATTTTCCATTGATAAACTCATCACCTTATGTGAAAAGATTCTTCATTGTTAATTTCACCTAACTTTGATTGATAATCTGTTGATAAGGAATGATGCATCGAATTTATCGTATTTCACGTAATTCACGTGATAAGGATCTCTTTAAATCACTGATATTATATTTCTTTTTTTCTTGGGAGTTCTTATCATCGTTTTTTTCCGTTTATCTTTAATTGCTTATTTTATCAAATCATGTATTCAACTTTGATTTTAGACCATTATGTCATGTATTGATAATGATTGATTACTTACATAGGACATATCAGTATTTTTAAAAATATTCTTACGTGACGCATCACAACATAACCTTTTAATCTTTACTATCGCTATTCATTATCACTGGTTGTCTTATCGTTATCGCTATCATTGATTGTTACTATTTCCTTAATTATTATAACGTTAAAGAAGCATATATTTTATGTACTTTTCTCCACTTAATTCATTAAAATATTACACTCCTGCTTCATTAATTCTTCGCTGTTGAAAACCAGATCGGGAACTTTCGGAACTTTCGGCACGAATTGATAATTAAGAAAAAAATATTTCATACGCTTAAATCATACCTATATTATCTTTATCGTTATACCTATATTATCTTTATATATATATATATATATATATATATATATATATATATATATATATATATA